ATGATTGTGTATAAGGATATGATAGAGGGAGAAAGAATTAGTTGGTAGAACTAAAGGTATAAAGTAATTTTAATCTCACGATTTATGGAAAGACAAAGAGTGTATACAGCTACAGCAATGTGATCGATTCTGAGCCATGTCACATAGAGTCTCCAACCACTAGTCATGATAGTCGCGCGCACACCAACCAAGTAGTCTGCATCTACCAACATTGCTCAGATCAGAAGTTACAATTAAAGCTTGATAGTGAGTCCATAAGAAAATATTTGCACCATCATTAAAATCATTCATAAAAATTGTTAAATAATATCAAATGATTGAAAATCATCTCGGATACATGAAAAAGTTAATTTGACTGGAAATTCATCACTGTGCAACAACCGATAGACCACTGAGCCGGCATCCGATGGTGTTAATGTCTAACTTCAACGAAACGGCCGTCCAGTGCTTTCAGGTTTTCCTTGGTGGTCTAGCTTCAATTGACTTATTATTTCAACTATGAAAACTAATGAAATCTCCACAAAACCCCTTCTGATTAAATTTATCAACCCAAACGACAGTTACACAAAGCACAATAAGATTATACATTGTCATCTTAAGTTAATACAATTATTGTCACCAGGTTGTGGTAACAATAACTATATCGGTGTAATTTAGTAGTTTACTTTGTTGGATTTAGACCTATTGCGTAACTCTTTTTACTAACAACAGTTGAAAGAAGTTAAATCCTGAACAAAACAAGACTTTGATTTATTTACAATTTCGATAGTGTAATAAGAAGACGAAGACTATCAAAGCAATGTGATGAGATATTAGCGCAATACATTTTGAACAATCTGATCACATATATACTTGCCAAAAATATAATCGAAACAGGTCATAAGATTGATCTTCATTCGGCTTTTGTGGTGCTGTATAAAAATGTAAAAAAGGGTATATACTAAGGTTTATTGAAGCCTTAGCCATATGAAAATTTAACCCACCCTCTATGTGTATTCAAAAACAGTTTGTTCTCACCTTAAACATACCCTATCCAGAGTGATTAGGTTTCAAATTACTTACTTACTTACGCCTGTTGCCCTCAAATGGAGCATAGGCCGCCGACCAACATTCTCCAACCCACTTTGTCCTGGGCCTTCTTTTCTAGTTCTATCCATTTTTGTTCATTCTTCTCATGTCTGTCTCTATTTCTCCTTTTTTTTCTCAAATTGTTTCCACATTATTATTATTGTCCTTGTCTCCTCTTAACCCCCCATTTTCTGTCTAGTTGACCTTTTATTTTTATATATAAATATTCGCAACAAGTATATGGGTGATCAGATTGTTCGAAATTTATTGCACTGATATATCATTACATAATTCTGATAATCTTTATCTTCTTATTTCATTATAATAAGAGAAAATCACTCTGAATGAAGTTACAATAAGGTAAAAAGAAATTCTCTTGTGTTATATCCCGTGGAGAATTATGAATGGTAACTTTGAGAACTATCTATGGACAAATATGATATGTATATTTCCTATTGTATAATCGTTAAGTAACTAAACTATTCATATTCCTGTCCCTCTTATTATAAGCTTCATTTTGACCTATGAACTATTATTATACCATTTAACATTCCTGAGTTATACCCAGTCTATTAATTACTGTTCCCCCTATTCACAGTCACATTTGGCTAAATCTTGTACAAATGTTATTTTCTATTTTATGGTACGATGTGGTCTGTCTGTTTGGTATATAAACTCAGTATGTTCGAGATATAATGATTCATACCACAAGGGGCTGTTATTGGTGTTTTGGACTTAACTGGCTGGGCTAGGCAGAAAGCAGGATTGATAAGTACTCAAGACTGCTCATACGGTTTTGTGTGTATCATTGATCTGATCGATAATTCACTCCTCTCTAATTGGCAGGAATCAGCACCTTCATATATTAAAGAGGGCACTCAATCACTCGATATAACAATAACTGGTCATATAATAGAGTAGTTAGATATGAAATTTCAGGAACTAAGACTACGGTTCGTACGGTTTTTTGTGTAACATTAGGCAATCAACAAATTCACTGTTCTCTAATAGGCGAGCCAATCGATATAACATCTTGTTTTATATTTGTATGCTCATATTCCCTTCTTTTATTTTAGTTTAATTACATTTATAGTCAACAAAAATGTATAAATCATTGTTTAAGACAAATTGGATGTAATAACAGTGGTTAGAGGTAGTTCATAGGTATATACATAATGATACATTCATCAAAATTATACAACGCACTATTCAAACGCAAAAATCATCATCTACCACTCAGTGATTCGAGTAAATGATCAACTAAGTGAATACTGCTAAGGTTAAGAGTGAGATACTGGGGCAGAGATGGTTCTGATAATCTTCATGTTCATATTACACTGTCGAAGTTTATCGAAGGGATTAATTGTTTTAAATTTCTTAAAAGAAGACTCCTCTATACATATTATTTACACTCGTTAATATAAGTTTAATCTGAACTAAAATACCACAGAACTATAATTTACAATGAATTCAAAGTATTAGAATTCATGAGTCAATTGAAGCTAGACCACCATGGAAAACCTGGAAGCATTGTTTAACGGCCGTTTCATCCTATTGTTGGACTCCTCAACAGTGCGCATACACGATCCCGCACTCGCGAAATTCAAACCCAAGACCTACCAGTCTCGCGCCAAAGCACTTAACCCATAGGTAGTCTACCTTCAATTGACTTATGATTTTAACTATGAAAAATACTGAAATCTCCACAAAACCCCCTTCTGATTAAAATTCATTTATTAAACTAGCTTTACATCAAAAAGAAAAAAAAGATCAAATCTATAAAATATTTTCTCTAGACAACAAAAAAAATATTCTGGTAGAAAGAGAAAAACAAACAAACAAAACAAAACAATAACTTGTCACATATTTCATTAGCATAATAAGAGTAAATTACCAATTAGAGAAATAAACAATTATTTTGTAAACATCTATTCATTATTTTAATACATTTGAGATGATATCTTGTCTGTAGTAGTGGAACAGTTCAGTATGGCAACTCTATATGAAAAATCACATGATTTAATTAGTAATAGTAATAAACTAAATAATGCGACATCTTGTATTTCATAACATCTGATTAATGATGATAGTAGTACTGTGGTGTGGTCTACTTATATCCATATAAGTAGTATATGGTGTTGGTCAGACATAGAATGTATTTTGGCAGAAGACTGATGAGGAAAGAACTGATATGAAGCGCAATTGGTAGAAAATTGTATGAACAATGAAATTAGAGAAGAAACAGTGAAGATTGAGACAATTGCTTGTTAATTTGCAAATTGACTGTTCATTGTATGGTTGTCAGAATTTACTGAGATATTCTGTAATTTTTGTTTCAATACATCCGATTGTCCCCAACTAGTGTTCTGTTCACTACAGTACTACTACTACTAATGTGGTGTGGGCTACTTATATCGACATAAGTAGTATATATTGTGAGTAAAGGATAGAATATCTGACAGCAGAAGGTTGAGAAGATCAAGAAGAGAAGAACAGAAATAAAAAGCAATTTGCATGGAAATCCAGGAACAATGAAGCCTGAGACAATTAAAGGACATTTTACATATAGAGTATCATAGTATGGTTTTTGTATTTTACCAAGTAACGTTGTAATTTCTGCTAAATACATAATTGGTTGTCCTCACCTGTGTTTTCATTCACTACATTACTGCCATTATGCTTTATGGGCAGTTAATATGGGTACTAATAATAACAGATGAATAAATCACAAAATCAATAAGTGTTCCATTTCAACAGATTATTTAAACTGTTCAAATAGAAGCTGAACACTCTCTACTATTCATTCAACTGATGATAACCATATATCTTAAAACAATCTAGCATGATATTAATGTGTGTGGGATTGTATTTCTGCGTGAAATTTAAATTACTTAAACGTGGTGCGGCCGAGAAGAAGGAGGGTCAGGCTTTTTCTAACGAAATGTTCTCGTACGGCCACACGTATACAACCACTATAAGGGAAGTTTCACTCACAACGAATTGAGAGGATGAAAAGTGGGTGTCCGTTGATTTAAACACATTAGTGGATACGGAGCATACACCTAAGGGAGTTGGAAAACCCTGATCCAAAACCAATATCATACATGGATTCCAGCATCGAATGGTGTATGAACCCATTGTTGGTCACCGTTTATCACGAGACTGCATCTCCTACTAATTGTTATAAACCAGTCCATCTTGGAATCAAATCTTAAGACACAAATATCTGGAGATGCAAGTTGGAAAAGCGTTGAAATAGTGACAGAGAAATCTATGAAATCATGAGTCAATTGAAGCTAGACTACCATGGGCAACCTAGAAGCACTGGACGGTTGCTCAAGCATCGTGGATTGGTTGAAGTTAGACACTAACACCATCGGATGCCGGCCAGCTCAGTGGTCTATCGGTTAAGTGCTCTGCCACGGGACTGGTAGGTCATGGGTTCGAATCTCGTGAGTGCGGGATCGTGGATGCGCACTCCTGAGAAGTCCCATAATAGGACGAAGCGGCCGTGCAGTACTTCCAGGTTTTCCATGGTGGTCTAGCTTCAATTGACTCATGAGTTCAACTATGAAAATACTGAAATATCCACAAAACCCCTTCTGATCTAAAATCTATGAAACACAATAAAACTCAAATTTAGAAAAAAAAGTGAATAGTAGATTGAAGATTTTGAAGATGTAACGAAACAGAGAAAGAAAAGAAGGGGATCAACGAGAAAATGTTTGATGTATATTATCGTTAGTAAACGACCACAAATTTTAGTCATGTCAAACAATTTAATTCAATAAAAAGTAATCGACAAGTCTGTTCATATTGCTGACGATTACGTTTTTCCTCTGAAATCTTTTTGATACTCAAAACAAATTATTAGACGATAATAACGAAAAAATCAAACATTTAATAAAACACAACTTGTATTTATGTCTCACCTGCATGGTTTACACCAACGATTTTGATGCTCTAAACCAAAACGTGCACGACATTTCTTAGCACTACTTATATCTGTAGAGTTTGTATTACCTACTAATACAGAAAGTCTACTAGTACGCTCTTCATTTGAATCGGAATTACCAAAATCCCCACCGGATTCTGAAGATATGTGAATACCAGTATTACCAAGAGTTTTACCACTGGTTGAATGAATTTTTGTTTGTGCAACAGCTGCTGCAGCTGCCAATTTTCGTTTTTTCTTACGTCTTGAATGTATAGCATAATTATCTCTTGCTGACCAGCCAGGGAACAGCTACAACATCAAAAAGAGATTTAGTAAAAACAAGTCCATTGTAATTCATAGAACACATAGTGCAAAGCATATGCAACACTCTCAAGTGCCAATAAGCAGATGGAATATGACTTATATTAGTGCCAACAACAGTGAAACTTATTAAGCTAGTTTCCAAACACTTTAAGACAGAAATACTTCGTTCTCTATTAATAAGATGAAGTAGCATTCTTCAGTAGATAAATCCTGATTGTATCTTAAAGCTTAAACAAAAAGGTACTAAAAACAACAGTTGTCACTAACTTCTTAATATATATATATATATATATATATATATATATATATATATATATATATTGCTTGTTTGGATCTTCCCACTGATTGGAATCGATCAGTCTCTTTTGACTTATGTGGATCCTGTGAAGAGTGCCTCAATATTAGCATTAAGTGACAAGTATTTTTAACAGAGATACATGGTGGCAAACAGAGGAATCCGGGATGTGCGTTTAGCCCTATTTGGCACATGTCAGCTAGATGTACTCTCATTCCATAGTTGATGTTCACTCCATGACTCGAATTCAGTACTGTTCGCTTAAAATATCATTACGTTATCCACTTAGCGCATCCTAGATTCTACTGTTACCTACCATTTATCTCTACTCAAATGATTGTGCTTTGATGACAATATTGAGGGATTTCGCACAGGTTAAATATACGTTAAAAGAGACTAGTCAATGGGAATATCCAAATAACCAATATGTACATTATTTGAAAATTTAAGGAGTCTTGTAAAAATCCTAAACCTTCTTAATGCCGTGGTACGGTCGAGAGTGGGGAGAGCCCGCCCTCTCTCTCGAAATGCTCTCACACTGTCACGCGTATAGAGCATCTGTCAGGAAAGTCCTACTCACTGACTTCTCGTGTCACTGTTGTTGTTTACCAAATTGAAAGGAAGAAAACCGAATGTCCGGCGCTTTGACCGGATTGGTGGACACGGAAAGTTCATTTAAGGGAGTTGGAAAACCTTTGTTCCGAACCAATGGTGCACATGAGCTCCAGTATCCTGAAGGAACAAATGGCGTATGAATCAACTGTTGGTCACCGTCTACCATGGGAATGCACCTCCTCACGATGCTCCACTGCCTTGTGGATCAGATCTTTAGGTCAGAGACTCCGGATGTGACCCACTAGGAAAACCACCTGTTTAGGTTCAGGCACCAGGGCAGTATCACAGCCCTCACACAAATCAAACGAAATTCGTGTGGTTCATATATATCTGGTGCCCCTTTGTACCAATATTTATGTGTTCAAATAAATACATATTCTTGAAATACACATAAACATCTTCTTAGCCATACAAATAAGATCATTTACTATACCAGTAACATATTTACTAATCAACCATACATAGATAATGCATATAATCTATCGACTAATGTACAGTCTTTAAAAAAATGATTACAAAAGACCACTAATTTGTTCTTTACAATTACTATCATCAATAACTGTAATATATATATATATATATATGCCGATAATACTAATCATAGATTCTTTTTTCTTTGGTTACAATTAATAGTAGTATATACCATTTGAAGGAAAAAAACAAACACCAACAACGAATCATTAACATACTACTATTACTTATCTACCTGATGATGTAGTTCTTTTTCTTTTCTAGCTAATTCATAATATTTTGCTTGTTTATCACGTGATAATTCATGCCATTTTTTACCAAGTATTTGATTAATTGCAGCTGATTCTTTTAATGTACATTCTTCTTGTACTATTGGTCTCATATCTTTCATAAATAACATGAATGCATTTAATGGTTTTTTAATATGTACACGTTTAGTTGAATTTGTATTAGATATTGGTGGTTGTTGTTGTTGTTGATGAGGTTGATTACAATGATCTTTATTATGATTATAATTACTTCTATTATGATCAACATCATTATCACCAATATCATTGTCAAAACTACTTGCCTCATTATGAGTAGTATTGATAGTAGTAGTAGTTTTGCTTTTATTATTGTTTGTATTAGTAGTAGTATTAGTAATAGTAGTAGTTGTAGTAGTAGAAGTAGAAGTATTAACAGTACAACATGTACTACTAGATGTTAAATTAGGTAATTTCAAAGGATTTACACCAAGAGGATTAGAATATATTCGATTATTACATAATTGATATTGCGATCCTAATGATGATAATTCAGGAGAATTTCTTTGTATATTATAACATAATGATGGATTAACAAAACATGTAGATGGAGAAGAAATTGGCAATGAATTTGTAGATGTGATCATTTCTGAATTGAATAATTTATTATTGTAATGATTGTTATTTGAATGTTTTATAATTGAAGGATCATTGATGGATTTATGAGATCTAGTGAATAAATAAGCATAAGAAAAGGACAAAACGGTTATACAGGTAGATAATTTAAACATCTCTTCGTATGTCTACAATGATTAGTTTTGCTAATGATGAATGAATGTGATTATGAGTTGAGTAATTTGCTTCATTGTAAATCATCTACCAGTTACAAGTTAATGTACATGGCATCAGGAAAGTACTTTGTAGGAGCTATTGACGACACCTAAATTATACTATGGGCTTCAATATCTGGGGTAGAAGTTCTGCCACACCGGTGCATATGAAACAGATTCTTTCTCTCTCTCTGTGTCAATAAATTACTTCTTACTGATCTACGAACGTCAAGACAGTTCTACTGTACGGAGCTGAAATATGGAGAACTACTATATCCATCGTCAATAAGGTATAAGTATTTATAAACAGTTGTGTACGCAAAATAGTCAACATTCACTGGCCCAATACTATCAGCAACAGAGTTTTATGGGAGAGGACAAACCAGCTTCCAGTTGAAGAGGAAATTAAGAAAAAGACGTTGTGAGTGGATTGGAAATCACCAATGTGCATTACGAGGCAAGCCCTAACTTGGAATCTGCAAGGGAAGCGGAAAAAAGGAAAACCAAAGAACACATTACACCGTGAAATAGAAGATATGAAAAAGATGAATAACAACTGGAACAAACTAGAAAGGATTGCCCAGGACAGAGTTGGATGGAGAATGCTGGTGAGCGGCCTATGCTTCTCCACGAGGGGTAACAGGCGTAAGTAAGTAATCTGCAGGAATACCGGATAATAACAACTGATATGTGACTGACAAGGAACTACTATTTAACGACAATAAAGCGTTAACATTAACCTTGAAACCTACTTATAACTACCGTAGTAAAGCACGAAAATCTAAAATCCACTTACGTATTATGAGATGATGAGCATACATTATCAGTGGTTGAACCAAAAGATTTAAATGCTTTTAAATGACCAGAAATTTGATGAGCAAAATTATCTGTAGTATTTGTATGACGTGATTTAAGTTGAGATGTAGTAAAAGAGAATAATGGCTCTTGTGAAGTCGATACTGAAGATGATTGTACAATATCAAGATGTGATGAAATGGAATGTTGTAAGTTTGAATCGACCGAATTATTACGGGATAGTATTGGTGATAAACTACTACTATTATGTAACGAAGATAATTGAGGAACAGGAGTCGGAGATGATGATGACGCTGATGAGTGAACTGCCGCAGCCACTGCTAAACTTGAAAGAAACTGGACATGAGCTGCTGCAGCCGCCGCCGCGGCAGCCGCTGCCGTAGCACGTTGAGAACAATCAGTGAACAAACTAGTTTGAAAGGAAAGAAAGAAATCCGAAATAACATAAACTTGAAAGAAAATTGTTTTTGAATTACTAACTGAATAATTTAAAATATAATTTTAAAGAAAAAGTAACAAATGATGATTCGACAGGATGGAACTAACCTACGGTTTAACTGATTTTCTTCTGAATCTGATTTTACCGACAAGTCAGTAGTCCGTGTTGATGTAGACGATCCTAGTTTTCTTTGTAAATCATATGAAGCAGCTTGTTCACCAAAAGAATTCGATGGAATAACAAGTCGTTCGCTATGAATTGATTTATTACTGCTATTATCTAAACTTGAAAATTCTGTAAAGTGTTTGTCTGTAAAATTGTCATTATCAGTTTTTAGTTGAAGATTAATTGATGAACTATACTGATCTAATTTGGAACCAGTTAATGGATATAAACGTGAAGGTAAGTTTGTTGATGTTGATTTGTTGGAGGGATGTACACTACCACCGATAGTCATATTATCAGAAGCGGTGTTATAGATATTCATTGAATTATCAATATTCAATGGTAAAGTACTGGATGATGATTGATTACTACTATTAGTGCATAGTGATAATAAATTATCATGACTAAGGGAATGATGACATGGATTCGGATTTGGCAAAAATCGTTGATTTGAATTATTATTAATTTTATATAAATCTGAAATTTAATTAAATCACAGAAAAACAAAATTAGGTACAAAAATGAAAGGAATAAGGTTGTGTAAGAAAAACACCAAATGGGATGATGCATATACTACTAACTTAAAAAAAACATTAGGATTGTAAGCAAAGATGGATAGTGACTAGCAGTGGAATCCAGGACGCGCGTTTTGTTCTATTTCGAACTCGTCAACTGGATGTACCTGCATCTCAGATTTGTTGATGTTCACTCTGGGACTCGAACCCAGTACCTTTCGCTGCAAACGCCATCGCATTATCCACTCGGGCACTGAGTCCTGATAGTCACTTGCTTGTGTGATGGGGTGAAGTTTGAATTCGTTTAGTATTGTTTGTTTGAATCGTCCCATCGATGTGTTAGGACTGCAACTGATCAGTCATTTTTGCTTACAATGCTTGTGAATTAAGGCTATATCGAGGCAATATGCACAGTATGTACATATGCCAATGAGAGACTGACCAGTTGCAGTCCTAACACATCGATGGGAAGATTCAAACAAACAATACTAAATGAATTCAAACATTAGGATTGTAAAAATCTTAAAATTCGTTATTTCGCATATATATTTAACCGTTGACTCATTAGTTCAAATCTCAGTTTTACTCACCAAAACATTGATATGATATAAATAATTTAACAGTAGATGTAGATGTTACAATTGATGAATGAGCTCTGATGGAACTATCGGCACTATAATCATAACTTCTATGACATTTTGAACCTTTAATTCAACTTGAAATGGCTTGAATAATCTCACTGTTGATATTATGACTGATACTTCATCAGTTTTGGTTGATATATGGGGATCCTGTAGGGACTGCCTCGATAAAGCCATTATGACACAAGTTAATATAGAATAGATGGAATGTGGCTAACAGTCACAAATAGAAAGAAACAAACGTCCTGAATGACACTATTAGTCGCATTCTATCTATTGCTATATTCTTTTGGACCTTTGTTTATTAATTAACTGAAGATTTGCATCGAGTTTCTAAATAAGACAATCGATATAAGTTTACCAGGAAATTTATTATGATTATGATTAAACTACATACTTTGATCTACAACATCGCAATTCGATGTAGGCAGTGACATAAAACGCGAAGCACATGTTATCATCGTCATAGGTGGTGCTGTTTCATAGAAATATAAATTCAATATTGTTTTTACTAATGTTACTACGAAATATAACAGTTAATATCTGAAAAATGTATGGTTTACAAAAATTGTAGTATCAGAAATAAACCATTACATGAATTAGGAGATGGAAACAAAATATACTAGGTCAACATTTATTGAGTACTAAGTAATAACCAACGTCATACGCCGGACGGATTGTATTGATCGAGGAGTTGTAACGGGACCACTAGTTTAAGTAACATGAATTGGTATCCATCAGTAAAGGGTGCGTATAATCTTGAAAGAACTGGTACTTCCCTAGTTGTTCCCAAATAGAATGAAACCTAAGTCTACGATTTCTTCATGACAACCCTCAATTATATAATATCAAAACATCGTGTGAAGCGATATCATGTCGGAGAGGCTATTTATGAATTCGGGAAAAAAAGCAAAAGAAGACTTTCAAAGATATCAGAAAGCAATTCAACACTGACAAATGACAGTAAATAGCTTAACTACACACATAAAACATAGATAGTATAAGTAGGGAGGAAAATCAATACCCACTTGCTGCTTTTATTAACTCTGAATGAAATGCAGCTGCCGCTGTAGCGGATGTCGACGACGGTGATTGACTGAGGGCAGCTGCTGCCGCTGCCGCCGCGGCTACAGCTATAACAGAAGGCGATGATTTATTTTGTGAAGATAAATTATCATAAACATTAAGGTTGGATAACGAAGTATTAGGAGTCGGAATTCTAAAAGGCACAGGTGAATGAACACTTGGTTGTGGCCAAGATGTTGATTGCAATTTTGGACTAGATGAACCAGATGATACCGCTGCAGCCACTGCAGCTGCTTGTAAAGCAACACTGTAGAATGGTCCAGCCATGAAAGCACTTAACGATGGAGAGAGTCCACCAAAAGAAGGAAACATTGGAGAAACACAACTAGTTTGACAACCAGAAGCAGACTGAAACTGTGAAGAGATATAGAGAAAAACGTAGTCAAAAATAATAATAGTTTCAGTGTTTGGCGAAAGATGCTATGCTTAAACAAGTTAATATGTTCAAATAACAAAAAATACTTATTGTTTCATTGAAGAATCAATATGAATGTATCCGTTTACTTGCTCATGTGGAGTAAGTTGTATTAGCTGAACAAAGCGAGCTCCGAACACCACCCTGCCTGGTTATCTAAAGGATTACAAAAGTGTAATCTTGGAACATGATGTGTGGGCGAGAATGATAATGATTGGTTGTCTCAATGAGTCAGACATTAGAGGGGATGACAGGTGTTATGTGTTATATATATATATATTTCCCTATCCTTATTATGTATGGACTTATTGACTGTTCCTTGTTGATGGACACTTATTGATTAACTGTTCCTTGTGTCGGATTTTCGTGTGGAAATATATTGACGTCATAGTCAGGCTAATCTGGTGTTCTTGATCTGAGTTGTGTTGAAGTCCTGTAGAATAGACACTGGGTGGGAATCTAGTGTAGATATTCGTCTAAGATAAATTAACGTCCCACATACGTGTAAGAAGTAAAAGGACTGTTATAACCAGAAACCCCTAAGGTTATAACCAGCATCCTCTCTCTCTCTCTACGTTTATAACAATTGGCGACGGCATACATACGTTTATAACATTGGCGACGGTGATTAAAACGGATCTACGCTTACGTATTCAGTTAAAGTGAATTTCGTATCAAGAAAATGGATGATCTGAAAACCTTATTGCAACAGCAAAATACTCTTATCGAATTATTAGTCAAAAATATGTCGATATCCTCAAGAACTGATGTGTCTAATTCCACTATGACTCCGGATTCTATTGCAAATTCAATAACTGAATTTAGATTTGATCCAGAAAGTGGAGTTACTTTTGAGGCGTGGTTTAAACGCCATGAGGATTTATTTATTAATGAATGTAAAGAGTGGGACGAAAGCTCAAAATTGAGATTATTATTACGAAAGCTCGGAGTGTCCGAACATGAAAAATTCTGTAATTTTATCCTCCCAAAGAAGCCATCCGACATAACGTTCAAAGAAACAGTTGAATGCCTGACTCGTATATTTGGTGAACGGTCATCAATTTTTCACACTAGATACCAGTGTCTTCAACTTGTAAAGAAAGTACAGGACGATTATGTAACGTATGCAAGCATCGTGAACCGGGAATGTGAGCGGTTCCGATTACAGGAAATGTCCTCAGATCAGTTTAAGTGCCTTATTTTTGTATGTGGATTACAATCTCCAGTAGATGCAGATATTAGAGCACGGATTCTAGCGAGAATCGAACAAGATCCTAATATCAGTCTACAATCAGTATCTGAAGAGTGTCAAAGAATGATTAATTTGAAGCATGACACGAAACTCGTAGAAAGGAACAGTGAACACGTTGGAGTTAATGCTTTACGTAAATCTTTTAAAGGAAATAAAGATTCGAACTCCCAGAAAATCCCGAATCAAGTGAAACACAAAACGTCATGTTGGCGATGTGGTAAGTGTCATTCTGCCAATGTTTGCTATTTTAAAAAACGAGTATGCTTTCAATGTGGTAAATATGGTCATGCTCAAGTATGTTGTAAAAGTAGGCCGAAGGTTTCTGACCGTGAGCATAAGTTCCGTAAACGAAATAAGATGCAGACTTCAAAATCAATACCGCATAACTCAAATGTTGTTCTGGCTACAAAAAGTGAGCATTTCTTCTCTAAAAGGAAGCATGTAACCATCTTTTTCGATGGCAAACCGGTCAAACTACAAGTCGATACTGGGTCTGACATAACATTAATTTCTAGAGAAACTTGGATTAAAATTGGTCGACCCCGATATCAACCTACATGTCATAATGCTAAGAGTGCGTCAGGAACTAATATTACTCTCCTTGGAGTAATACAGCTACCTCTCACACTAGGTGAAAAGACTATGACCGGGAAATGTTATGTCTCTGGGAACTGTAATACCAATCTATTAGGTATTGATTGGATTGATAAATTTGGTTTATGGGACTTGCCGTTGAGCACTGTCTGCAATATGATTAATTCACCAGTACAGCGATCGCTGTCAAGTGACTTTAGTCGTTTGTGTGTTAAAGAATTGCGTGATAAGTTTTCAGATATTTTTGAGGATAAATTGGGACTATGCGTAAAAGTAAAGGCTCGTATGTATGTTCAACAGGAAGCAAAACCTGTGTTCCTTCCTAGGAGACCTGTACCTTATTCGATTACTGATGCCTTGGATGCAGAACTTGACAGACTACAGAGTTCTGGGGTTATTTCTCCTGTAAATTATTCTGCATGGGCAACACCATTAGTGGTTGTAAGGAAGTCTGATGGTAAATTACGTGTATGTGGAGACTTCTCCACTGGGTTAAACAAAGCACTACAGGACCATTTATACCCCTTACCCATCCCAGAGGATTTATTTAGTAAGTTGAATGGGTGCTCCGTATTTTCGAAGATTGATTTTTCGGATGCATATCTACAAGTGGAGGTCGAAGAAGACTGTAGATTCTTGCTGACAGTGAACACACACCGAGGATTGTTCCAATATAATAGACTGCCTTTTGGTATAAAATGTGCCCCGGCAATTTTTCAACAAGTCATGGACACCATGTTAAGCGACGTCCCGTTTGCCATGGTATATATGGATGATATTATTATTGCCAGTAGGAATGAAAAAGAACACTATGATCATTTACAAGAAGTTTTTGCTCGTATTCGAGAGTATGGTTTTCGTATAAAAGTAGAAAAGTGTTCATTTTTTATGTTAAGTATTCGATATTTAGGAACAATTATCGATTCTTATGGACGTAGACCCGATCCTGAAAAGATACATGCTATTGTGAATATGCCAGGTCCATCTAATGTTAAAATGCTTCAGTCATTTTTAGGAATGATTAACTATTATAGTCATTTTGTGCCAAATATGCATGCCCTGCGTGCTCCATTGAATGCACTGTTAACTAAGAACACCAAATGGAACTGGAATAAAGAATGTCAAGTGTCCTTTAAAAAAGTAAAACAGATCTTGGCGTCTGACTTATTGCTCACTCATTATGACCCAAAACTTGAGTTAATTGTGGCGGCTGATGCATCTGATTACGGCATTGGAGCGGTGATTCTTCACAAGTTTCCTAATGGTTCACAAAAAGCTATTTTCCATGCTTCACGCACCCTTACTGCGGCTGAAAAGAATTATAGTCAAATCGAAAAGGAGGCTTTAGCCCTAGTGTTTGCGGTCAGAAAATTCCACAAGATGCTATACGGTAGGAGATTTACCCTACAAACTGACCATAGACCGTTGTTGGCCATATTTGGCGCTAAGAAAGGAATACCTATCCACACTGCAAATCGGCTGACTAGGTGGGCTACTATGTTGCTAGGATATGACTTCGAATTGCTGTATAAGCCGTCAGCTCGTATGGGTCATGCAGATGGATTGTCAAGGTTAATCGCTAATAACCGTAAGTTAGAGGAAGATTGCGTGGTTGCTTCTATATCAATTGAACCGGAAATAAAAAAAGTGTTCTGTGATGCTATCAGAATCCTACCAGTAACGGCAGAAGCAGTTAAAGAAGCCACGGGTAGTGATCCTCTACTTAAAAGAATAAAAGAAGCTGTTTTAAAGGGTTGGAAACAGGACAAAGCTGATCGAGAGTTTCACCAATTTTTCTTGAGACGTGAGTCTATATCGATTTATGATAATTGCTTGATGTATGGTGAACGTGTTGTTATCCCTAAATCTCTTCAGCTTTTTGTGCTTAAACAGTTTCACATTGGTCATCCGGGAATGAACAGAATGAAGGCTGTTATGCGTAGTTATGTCTATTGGCCATTCATGGATAAGGCTGTGGAAGAATACGTAGTGAGATGTCGGCGATGTGCCGAAGTTGCAAAAGATCCACCGAAGGTAGAATCCCAGCCATGGCCAGAAACGACAAAGCCTTGGGTCCGACTACATGTTGATTATGCTGGACCAATAAGTGGACAATATTTTTTGGTGGTGGTTGATTCATACTCAAAGTGGCCTGAAATTTATGTGGTACGAAGACCATCTACGTCTGAAACACTGCTACATCTGAGACAACTATTTGGTAGGTTTGGTACACCTAATGTTTTGGTTTCAGATAACGGGACGCAGTTCACGTCGTTAGAGTTTGCGGAGTTCTGTAAACAGAATGGAATCGAGCACGTTAGAACTCCACCGTATCACCCTAAGTCGAACGGGCAGGCAGAGAAATTTGTTGATATTCTTAAACGAGCTCTCTTAAAGATGGGAGGAGAAGGCAACGTAGAAGAGGCTCTGCAACAATTTCTCATTTCCTATAGAATTACGCCAAGTCCAAACTGTCAAGACGGGAAATCTCCAGCCGAAATGATGTTTGGCCGACCGATTAGAACATTTTTTGATGTTTTGAACCCGAAAGACAGAATCAGTGGACTACAAAAAAATAAGAAAGGGAATTGCCTGAAAATTCGAGAATTCAAAGTAGGTGACTCAGTTTATGCACGGGATTTCCGGCCTGGCAAGCCAAAATGGATATTTGGGTTTATAAAAAAACGACGTGGTACAGTATTATATGAAGTGATGGTTGAAAATACACTAATTATTAGACAAGTAAATCAACTGCGAGATAGAAAATGTATTTATGAGTCATCTAAACTCAAACCATTACCAATGGAAGTATTATGTGATACATTTGATATTCCACCACCACCACCACAAGTTGAAATGAGAAAAAATGATCTAGAATCAGAAGTTAGACGAAGGTCATTCAGGAAACGGAAACAAACGAAATTTTTTCAAATAGACCCTAAAATGAAATCATACGATCAAACTTCGCGAGGGAGGTGATGTGTGGACGAGAATGATAATGATTGGTTGTCTCAATGAGTCAGACATTAGAGGGGATGACAGGTGTTATGTGTTATATATATATATATTTCCCTATCCTTATTATGTATGGACTTATTGACTGTTCCTTGTTGATGGACACTTATTGATTAACTGTTCCTTGTGTCGGATTTTCGTGTGGAAATATATTGACGTCATAGTCAGGCTAATCTGGTGTTCTTGATCTGAGTTGTGTTGAAGTCCTGTAGAATAGACACTGGGTGGGAATCTAGTGTAGATATTCGTCTAAGATAAATTAACGTCCCACATACGTGTAAGAAGTAAAAGGACTGTTATAACCAGAAACCCCTAAGGTTATAACCAGCATCCTCTCTCTTTCTACGTTTATAACAATTGGCGACGGCATACATACGTTTATAACAGAACATTTAGTTGATTCTTATTAATCCGTTTCATTAAAATCATACACACAGTCAACAGAATCAGGACAAAAGGAATACAGATAGGGGACTTATGTACAGTGGAGGTCATAGCTATTCATCAATCGAAGCTTAACATTTACGTACAAAAACAGTATGTTCGAACCCTCATTATTTCATAGTCTTAATCTTTCTTTGTATCTCTCATGATCAATCATTTTTCTCTACGCCTTAACAACTGTTAATTAGATTGATATCATGAATAGATGAATGTTAGACCACCATTGAAAACCTGGAAGCAATGGACAGCTGTTTCATCCTAGTATGGGACTCCTCAGCAGTGAGCATCCACGATACCGTACCAAAGGGATTCCAACCCAAGACCTTCGGTTTCGTACGGGAACACTTAACCTCTACGATGAAATGACCGTCTAATACTTCCAGGTTTTCAATAGTAGTCTAATATTCATCCATTCATGATATTAATCTAAGCTCAACAATCTCCACAACCCTATATTGATAACTATTAACTAACCATTATTACAACCATTACCTATACTATTCTTTATAGTTACCAAAAGTGAACAATTATCTTTACCTTATCACTTTTTCACTAAACAATTGTTATGTAACTTTCTTTCAATATCTAACTTTTTTATAATAAAAAAACAAACACAATATCATTCTAAATGAAAATGTCGAAAAGAACTCGTCTCGTTTTTTCTCTTACTGACTTATCTTTATTCATTTCTTCTCTAGTAACCTTTGTTCACTTAACATTCAATTATTTTATGAATGATTCATTAAAAATAAAACTAATATACAAAACAGACGATAAATTACACTAATTTTTTTTTTAAAAAACAATATTTTGAAGAGATCGATAGTGGCTAGCAGTGGAATCCAGTCTGACGCGTATTTTGTACTGTTGTGGGACTCCTCAGGAGTGCGCATTCACGATCCCACACTCGCGAGATTCGAACCCAGAAGCTACCAGTCTCGCGTTAGAGCGCTTAACCACTAGACCACTGAGCCGACCGGCATCCAACGGTGTTAATGTCTAACTTCAACCAATCCACGAAGTTGAGCAACCGTTTACCGATTGCCTTCAGTGAGTTGATGTCTCACAACAATAGGACGAAACGGTCGTCCAGTGCTTCCGGGTTTTCGATGGTGGTCTAGCTTCAATTGACCTATGATTTCAACTATGAAAATACTGAAATCTCTACAAAACTCCTTCTGATATCTGAAATCTTTGAACATGACCAGTTTATTAAGACAATCAGTAATCAATATGAATAGAGAAACACTGATATATCTGATTGTAATAACTAAACACAAGTGACTCCAATTATAGAAGAATGTGAAAAGCTTTGAAATATGGAAAGCATACTTGATAGAATAAGAATACAACTAAACGTGAACACTTAACTCTAAGCAACTTTAATAAAAAATGGGAAAGTAAATATTTTGATGGGTACTTAATTAACTTATTCTCCCATCAAAAATTTTTTTTTAATGATTCATAAAGTGAAGTAATGAAGTTCAATAATTTAGTTCTGTGTGTAGGGTTACGATTAAAGACGTTCATTGATCTAACATTTTACGATACAGTAACAAGAATTGAATAATCTATTTGTTTTCTCTCAAATAGAGCAAATTAAGTTTAAGATTCAACACAAAATCTCCTTATTTTCAATTTGAGGTTGTGAAAATTATTGAATTTCACTAAAGTTATGAATTGATCAATGTTAGACCACCATTGAAAACTCGTAAGATGGTCACGTGATATCGTGGACTAGTTGAAGTTAGACATGGACACCGTTGTTGGATGCCGTCTCAATAGTTGAGAATCTAAGCATTTGGGCATCAGACCGAATATGCTAGGTTCGAATCCCACGTGTAAGATCGTGAATGCGCACTGCTAAAGGAGTCTCCTTATATTGTCTGATTGGACAAAATGAAACCAATAGACAACGTAACCCATATAACATTGCGTTGATACTTTTAATATCAGCTCCAGCAAAACCAAAACATGGCATTAGTGCTCGAAATTATTAACTTTTAGTCTCAGCCATGTAGGCAGATGCAGAATACTTGATTGGGGTCCGCGTGACTATCGTAACCAATGGTTGGAGACTCTGTGTGACATGGCTCAGAATCGATTACAATGGCGTAGGTGTGTACACTCTTTATCTTCCCTTAAACTATGAGATTAGAATTGCTTCATATCTTCCTCTACTATATCCTTATATACAATCTTTCTTTTCTATATTACCACCACTAAATTAACTACTTCTATGAACCCGGTGTTCATCTTGTTGTGCTAACAAGGTATGGCAACTTGGACCGATGCATATGTGTGCCTGGTCTTACGTTGTAGCTGGTTGACTAATATCAGCTCATATTAGATATTGTAACCAATTAATTTAAAACTTATTACAATCTATCATTTCAAGAATTTGTATATATACATACTACTGTTGACAAATCTACTACTAGTATGTTCATTGAATCAAGAACATTCTAAACTGACAATTTACAAATGATCTTTTCTATTTAAATAATAAAAGATAATTTAGAATGGTGTATTCATTTTTTATCAATAATTAGTGTATATTACACACTTTTCATTATTTTACAACATTGATAGACAGAATGGTGTGTGCTCATTTTTGTTTTCTTCTTATTCTTGTGTCAGATAATCAATCACATGCTAAACTTTAATAGGAAGTAGTCATAGTCGTAGTAGGCGTAGTAATATAAAGACGAATACACTAATTAAAATAAATCATAGGTGATTATGAAAATGTAAACATGACTTTTAAAGAAACAACAAATAAGAGTAAGTTATTTGTTTAAACAAACAATGAAGTTGAAATTATGTAACTATATTATTCATATAAACTGATAGAGAAATAATGATAAATCAGTTCAATATGTGAAATCTTACCCGATTTGTCAAAGGATTAGCACATCGTAATACATGATCATCTGTATTTAAACCAGTTGGTATTTCATTTAATTGTGATTTCCTTTCTTCAGTAGTTATATGAGCTGAATTTCCAAAAGTATCAGATTCACAAGAATGTGGTGATGACAGTGATGAAGGGGGATAGGAGAATCGATTTGGGACATCTGGACCCTGTTGATGAGCGGCTGCAGCAGCAGCAGCCGCGGCCGCCACAGCCGCAGCGGCTGCAGCATATGAAGAAGCATTAACAGGAAATGACGGAGAACCGGTAACAAATGGCAATGGAAAGACTAAAAGGGAAATGAATGTTACAGATCACCACTAAACGTATAGACATAACTTTGAGTAAAATAAACGAACAAAGTCAAAATTAAACTTTGATAAGAAGTACATAGACTTCATAAGATCAAAGAAATATTAATTATGAATTGTTGCCAATAGCTAGAAAGCTTTAATCATCCTGTATTTTTTTTAAAAACCGACAAACATATGATGCTGGGTTTCTGTTCTTTAAATAGGAAATAATAAACGTGAGTATTCGATATTCCATCAAGGTCAAAAGGTCAAGTTATACACCTTATGATTACACAGTCTGAACCATAGCTTCAAGAAGTCACAGTTCCAAGAAAAAGTATGGATGATTCGGTAACTTATTACGTTGAAGTGATACTTCTACTATCTAATTGAAACGAACACGGACACATAAATGAATTAGAAAACTAAGTCAGTCAGTCAGTCACAACGTAGAACTTCGTACGTACGTACATCAGTTCGAGTTGCCATACCACATCAACACAGAGATGCAGTTGTCCATTCAAATCCCATAGTGGTAGAAGTAGTAAGAATATAAGCAGTAATCAGAAAGATTAAGGTTTGAAGATGTTATTGAAGGAGTACAATCCAGTGAAATAAATTTGAAAAGAGAAAAAGAGAGGGTCATGAAGAATTCAGAAAATTAGAATTTGGTAGAACACAAAGAGTGGATGCACCTTCGCCATTGTAAACGATTTTCAGCCATGTCATTCAAGGTCTCTAACCATCAATTGCTATTATCTCGCGAATCCTAACCACGTAGTCTACACCTACCAACATGGCTCAGTCCACTTGTCAGTGACTTCATGGATTTGTGCCACATTTTGGTCTGATCGCCCATAGCTTTCTTCCAACCTACTCCTACACTATAAAACATTGTACGTCCGAAAATAAAGATAGAGACAAACTAAAGTATGAAGTAAAGTAGTTTATTGATTTATTTATTTAAACATATAATTATTGGTACAAGGAAGCACCAGATAAATATGAGACGCACAAATCTCATTCGATTTGTGTGAGAGCTGTGATACTGATTGAGAGTCCAAACTGAAGCAGGTGGTTTTCTTAACGGGCCACACCCCGAGCCTTTGAACTAAAGGTCTAATCCACAAGGCAGTGGAGCATCGTGAGGAGATGCAGTCCCATGGTAGCCGGTGAACAACGATTGATTCATACGTCATTTGTTCCTTCAGGATAATGGAGTCAGCCCATGTGCACCATTGGTTTGGAATCAGGGTTTTCCAACTCCCCTAGGTGAACGTTTTGTGTCCACCAACCCGGTTGAAGCACCGGACATTCGATTTTCGTCCTCTCAATTTCTTAAACAGTACCCCCGCCACAAGAAAGTAGTGAGTAGGACTTTCCTGACGGAGGCTATATACGTGTGGCCATGTGAGAGCATTTCGAGAGGGAGAGCAGACTCTCTCCACTCTCAGCAGTACCAGGGCATTTGGGGGCTACTATGTTGGGGGTGAGTAAGTGAGTGAGTGAGTGAGTGCAATAGCCGGCTTTATTTTAGTGAAGTAAAATAGACAAAATGTTACAAATGAATAATTGCCATCCTATGAAAAGACTAATGTTCAATGTAGTCAATGAATGAAAATTCAGTTAAAGATTATTTTTTTTACCTACAAACTATGAGTATCCAATGACACGGTATTCAATCGATAACAGAAGTATAAAAAAAAGACAAACTACATTAACATTTGATAGATCAAGTGAAAATCAAAGAGAAGAAACTATAAGAAGAAGAATAAATACTGAAATAATAATAATAATAAATGAATTGGGAACAAGACGGAACGAAAATACCGTAGAAACAGTACCATATATATCTATATCTATCTATATATATATATGCATATAGAGAGAGATGAAAGATAGTTGAAGAATATACAGTGGATACAATAAGGAGACAAAGATGGAAAACAAAACAAAAAAAATACCACGTGCTATAAAGGAGGAAATATACGAAAGAAAAAGCATTAGCATAGAAGCGAATAAGTACGATATAATTTATCATAAAAATTTGATATTAATGATGACAACTGAAAGGAGAGAAAAGAATAAAGATACTTTTTTATTTCATTTCATTGAAAGACAAAGTTGATAATCATTTTGGAAGAAGAATACTTGGATCGGGGTTTTTTTTCTGCGCAATCAATAACATTCCTTCTTCTTCTTTTTTTTAGGGTGGGGGAAAGATTATTATTATTATTATTATTATTATTATAAGGCGAATAAATCTTGAACAGAGAATTATCCACTTCATAGAAAATTGATGATATAGTTTCTACATATAGATTTATGAATGAACTAAGGTAACAAAAATTCATAATTAAGAGTATGATATTATAGAATGAATCAACTTCTGACACTGATGTGAATGAAATCCAACGGATAAAGTGACTTTATAAATAAATAAATAAATATAATAATGTATAGCGTTTAACATAAAGTTGACTAGTGTTGGAGACGGTTGGGAGAGAATGAGGAGTAGACAAACTAAAACGTGGCATAAGTCATTAAAATCAATAAATTCTGGTTTCAGCCATGTTGGTAAATGCAAACTATTTAGTTGGGGTTCGCGTGACTAGCATGAACAGTGGTTACAGATGCTGGCTGATATGGCTCATAATCGATCACATTGCTGTAGCTGTATACACTCTTTGTCTTCCCATAAACTATGAGATTAGAATTGCTATAAACCTTTATTTCTACAAACTCATTCTTCCGACCTCTATCTAACCTTATACACAATCTTTCATATATTACTACCATTGAAGTAACTGATTCTATGAATTTGATGTTCATCTTCTTGTGTTAGTGAGGTATGGCAACTTGGACCAATGCACATATATGCGTGGTCATACGTTGTAACTGACTGACTGACTGATTGAGTGAGCGCAATAGCCGGCTTTATTTCAGTGAAGCAGTTTAATCACATGGTCCAAAGCACCAGTCATGACAATCCACCGATTACATTTATTCCTTGTCACAAACATCCGATAAATTATTATTATGCAATATTGATGAAGGTAAATATGAGAACACTCAACACATCTTCATACCCACTCATACTTACTTCTGAAGGACTAGTGGGAGTTTGTATATATACCACGCATCATTGTTGGAAAATATTTAAATAAATTACAAGTCTATGTTTACGAGTAGGTTTTCGAGTTCTAGTAAACAAGTGATCGGTGAGAAATATCTTTGTATTTCAGTTGAAGTTTCATATTCCCTTGATAGTCTTTGAACAAACTACCCTAACTCAAGCTCTCATGTTCGTGTGATATATTCATAGAACCAATAGTTGTTAAGCTTTTACCTTACCTAGGGTAAACCAAGTAGTTTTATCAAGCGACCATCGGTTCTCTGATCTTTATCAAGTGATATTAATTAAAAAGACGAGTAGTGTGAGAAGTTATTTCATTTCAACTGAAAAGGAATGATTCTTTTTTTATTCGCACTCGATTTTACTATAATGTACAGGTCAAATTATGTTAAATGTTTCCACCATTCCCATAACGCTAGTAGTGGCCTAATGAAAACATGACGTCAGTCTATATGATCATCATTGTCTGTTGATAGGTCCAGACTATCTGGTAGGTGTCTGAGGGTAATTTTAAATGAAACATAAAATTTATATAAGTATAAAACATTATAATCTTAATTTGAGTACAGCGAACAAGATATACAATGAATTATTTCTATGCTTGAGAAAGTGATTAAATCAAGTTAATTGGATATATGAACATAGAAATACAATATTTATTAGGAATCAGGTGTATCCAGTTGATAGGTCAGTCGGTCGGTCAGTTACAACGTAGGACCAGGCACATTTATGCATCGGTCCAAGTTGCCATACCTTGTTAGCACAACAAGATGAACACCGGGTTCATAGAAGTAGTTAATTTAGTGGTGGTAATATATAAAAGAAAGGTTGTATATAAGGATATAGTACAGGAAGATATGAAGCAATTCTAATCTCATAGTTTAAGGGAAGATAAAGAGTGTACACACCTGCGCCGTTGTAATCGATTCCGAGCTATGTCACCTAGAGTCTCCAACCATTGGTTACGATAGTCACGCGGACCCCAATCAAGTAGTCTGCATCTGCCTACATGGCTCACACCAGAAGTTAGTGACTTCATGCTCTGATGCCACGTTTTGGTTTGGCGCCCCTAACTCTCTACCAACCATCCTTAAGACTAGTCAGTAGTGCGTACCGTGGTAATCGGTGTTTAGGCATACGTAACACGTGGCCTAACCATCTCAGTCGATGAAGATTCATTACCTCATCAATCCAGTTAATAGACATTTCAGATAGAAGAAAATAAATCCATATTCTGAACATATTTATCCAAAACAATTTACAACTGATAGGACAACATCAGCTAATCAATTAAGTGATTCCAGGTATATTCACACATATATAAATCACAAACAGAAAATCTAACAAATGTGGAATGTAAAATTCATAAATTTATACTCTTTAAAATTAGTAATACGAATTAAATAACTAGCTTGGAGTCATACCCTAATCAAAATATTTCTCTATAGTATCGAATGATACACCATAATGACTGAAAATCGAGACATTGAAGAACTTTAAACAATCAAAGTTGAATTTATTGATGAATAGAATGATCAGGGATAAGAAAAACTTACGTGAATGGTAATAGTCATCTAGAGATAAGAATCCAAAATTGAATGATCCTTTCTGTGTACACTATAATTATAAGGGGAAAAAAGACAAAATTGCATATGACTTGAAGTTAAACTAGTGACAAAAACTTTATAAATATACACATCAATATACTAAACAGAAGGATACATAACAGAAATGAAGTACTATTTTGTATTACGATTGCCCCCAAATGCCCTGGTACGGTCGAGAGTGGGGAGAGTCACCTCTCCATCTCGAAATGCTCTCATATGGTCACGCAAATATATAGCCTCTGCCAGAGAAGTACTACTCACTGACTTCTCGTGGCAAGGGGTGTTGTTTAAGAAATTGAGAGGACAAAAAGCGAATGTCCGGTGCTTTGACCGGGTTGGTGGATACGGAGGATCCACCTAGGGGAGTAGGAAAACCCTCATTCCAAACCAATGGTGCACATGGGCTCCAGGATCCTGAAGGAACAAATGACGTATGAATCAATCGTTGGTCACCGGCTACCATGGGACTGCATCTCCTCACGATGCTCCACTGCCTTGTGGACTAGAGCTTCAGTCAAAGGCTCGGGGTGTGGCCCCGTAAGAAAATCACCACCTTCAGTTTGGGCACCTGGGCAGTATCACAGCTCTCACACAAATCAAATGAGATTTGTGAGACGCATATATACCTGGTACTTCCTTGTAAAAATATTTATGTGTTTAAATAAATAAATTGTATTACGATCATTATAATACTCCTGAAACCTTTCATACTGAATAAAAAAAGAAGAATACTATCAGTGATGAAAGATAACTGAAATAATAATGTGATTGTATACTAACATTATTTTAATGAACAAAGACCTGGACAGGGTAAACCAATTGATTGTATTATGCAAAATCACACTGCATTTGTAAAGTATGAAGATAATACATGGAACATATTATTTGAACATTTTCTTTAAATTGTCCTTTACAAGCTCCATCATCTTTTCATTCCTATTGCTACTCGGACTGTTTTAGTTTTTCTTTCTCTTCTCCCCCCATGTTTCTTCTCTGTCAGTAAGAAGCCTACTTCCAGTTACCGATATATATTACTTATATCTGTCCGTATAAGTAGCACACACCACAGTACATGATATAAACCGAATATTAACACTTATGAATGTTATCACATTGAATAGTAGAAAAAATTAACAAAGCTAATGTATCCATACAAGATTATCGCTAAGTATACACAACATACATATTTTATTGTTTATCACTAATAGTTTTTAAGCTGATCTAGACTAATTTAAAGAAGATACGGTAGCGGGAAACATATGCCAATTTTAATAGTTCAAATCATTACACTTCAAATACTCAATGATCATATACATATCATCTAAATTTGAAGTTACAGTGAAATACACTTCTTATCTTACATGTTATATCCTAGTGAAGACATAAGTACGGATAATTCCCAGGACCTATTAATGGACGATTATTCTATAAATATTCTTATTGTTTAATTATTGAGTAACTAGACTGTGTACATCTATATTCATTTTATTATAAGCTTCATTTTGACCTATAGATTATTATTATACGATTTACTGTCCCTAAATTATATTCCGTTTATTGATTATTGTATCCCACGTTCACAGTCACATTTGGCCTGTTCTTGTACAAATATTATTTTTCTATTTCATGGTGTGATGCGGTCTGTCTATCTGGTATATGAACCGAGTATGTTCGAAATAAATGATTCGCATAACAGAAGCTGAAATTGGTGTTTTGAACTCAACTGGAAGGGCTATACGGACAAGGGACCAATAAGAGCGCTAGACTGCTCATACTGGTCGAACGTTATTGTTTTGGCAGAGTGCTAAGATTGTATAAGTCGTCCTTCGGTTGGTGGATAAATCACGTGATAAAAAGCCGGACATAAAATCATAACAATGTAAATGAACTAAAATAATGACTTATTATGAATAGGATGAAACTTTGAAAAAGTACATTATTCCAAAGTATTACATTCTTCAATAGTGTAGAAGATATTCAACACATTAAAATATTTAAACACTATATGAACGGTAGAAACAAATATGATTTATACCACATTAATTATTATTTATTTATTTAATCACATATATATTGGTACAAAGGGCACCGGATATATATGCGCCACACAAAATAATGAGAATGGGAGGAGAAGGAAGATGTGAATATATAAAGGAAGGAAAAAAAGAAAAGGAGAAGAGTAATAATGGGGGGAACTGAAATGTACAACCAGAAGAGCTCTCTCAGTTAGGAAAGTTAAAACCATTCTTTATGAAGAAAGTAGAAGAAGGTTGAAGCAGGATCGCCACTGGCTTCTATTCTGAGCCATATCTGATAACGTCTCTAGCCACTGTGTTGCACAATCTCTCAAACCCCAGCGACAGAGTCGTGAAGGACCAACAGAAGCTAGCCCTTTGCAGCTCTCTTTCATGCCACGACACCATGTCATACACTGACCTCCTCTCCGCTTTCTCCAACCAGTCCCAGAGTCGGCAAATAATGCACGACGTGGAAGTCTCTGGGACGACATTCGTAAAACATGTCCGAGCCACCGAAGTCGATGTTTCAAGATGATGACACCAATTGAATTATCATCTCTGCGCCCGAACACACGATGCTGAACCTCTGCATTACTAACATGGTGTTGCCACTGAATGTCAGCAATCCTTCGGAGACAACGATGATCGAACACAGAGAGTCGTCTAACATCCTCAACTCGGAGAGGCCAGGTTTCACAAGCATAGAGCAAAATTGCTCTCACCGACGCGTTGTAGATCCGACCTTTTACAGCCAGACTAACGTCACGAAGGCGCCAAAGATGGCCCAGATTGGCATAAGCCGCTATGGCTTTCATTATACGTGCATCAATCTCATCACTCACGCCACCACCAGCACTTATATAGCTACCTAGATACACGAACTTCTCAACTACTTCAATCTCCTCACCATCCAGGGTGAGTACAGGATGAGAATTCTGCCAGTCTTGTAGGAGTACTTTGCACTTGGAGGGTGCAAAGCACATGCCGTACCTGCGGACACTGATTGCCAACTGATTAAGTGCTGATTGCATGCCTTTGGCATTATCGCACAGTAAGACAATATCATCCGCATACTCGAGGTCGAGAAGTCGTTCCCCAGGCAACATATCTACACTGCCATTACTTACATCCATCAGAGCTGTTTCCATGATGTCGTCGATAGCAAAGTTGAAGAGGAATGGTGAGATCGGGCAACCCTGTCTAACCCCACTGCCAACTGATTAAGTGCGGATTGCATGCCTTGGGTATTATCGCAGTCAGTCAGTCACAACGTAGAACTTTGTACGTACGTACATCAGTTCGAGTTGCCATACCACATCAACACAGAGATGCAGTTGTCCATTCAAATCCCATAGTGGTAGAAGTAGTAGGAGTATAATCAGAAATCCAAAAGATTAGGGTTTGAAGAAATTATTGAAGGAGTATAGTACAGTGAAATAAATTTGGAAAGAGAAAAAGATAAAGACATGAGGAATTCAGAAGATTAGAATTTGGTAGAACACAAAGAGTGGATGCACCTTCGCCATTGCAAACGATTTTCAGCCATGTCATTCAAGGTCTCTAACCATCGGTTGCTGTCATCTCGCAAATCCCAACCAGGTAGTCTACACCTACCAACATGGCCCAGTCCACCTGTCAGTGACTTCATTGATTTGTGCCAATTGTTTTGGTCTGGCCACCCGTAGCTTTCTTCCAACCTACTCCTACACCATGAAACATTGCACGTCGGGGCAGTCGGTGGTCGGGCATATGTAACACATGTCCCAGCCATCTCAACTAATGAAGTTTCACTACTTCATCAATCGGTTTGCCATCCCTACCTAGTACTCGTTTCCTAACAACTGCATTACTTACCCGGTGGTCCCAGGATATACGAGCAATGCTTCGAAGACACCTATGATCGAACACTAGTAGCCTACGAATATCCTCTACTCTTACTGGCCATGTTTCACTACCATAAAGTAGGACGGAACGGACTGCTGCACAGTAAACCCGTACTTTGGTTGCTAGACGGATATCTCGCCTACGCCATAAATGACGCAAGTTGGCGAAAGGTAGACGAGCCTTCTGTATCCGTGGTGAGATTTCGTCACATACCAGACCAAAAGGGCTGATGAGACTCCCAAGATAAGCGAAGTGGTCTACACGCCCAACTACTTCACTCCCTATCATTAGTTCAGGTGCCGATGCAACCCAATCCTGAAGTAACATTTTGCATTTCGAGGGGGAGACTCGCATTCCGAACATGCCTGCATAGTTGCTTATAGTGGTCAGAAGGCTCTGCATGTTGTTAGCGTCTTCACCGAGTAAAACTATGTCGTTGGCGTATTCTAAGTCAGCAAGTGAATCTCCCGGTAAAAGTTCAACTCCTGGAGGTTTAACTGATGAAAGTGCTATCTCTAAAAGTATGTCAATGACAAAGTTAAACAAGAATGGGGAGAGTGGACAGCCCTGACGAACACCACCTGAGGCAATCAATTCTGATGACAGTTCGCCATAGGCTCTAACTCGACCAGTTGTGTTCGAGTAGAGAGCCTTTATGAGGTTAATGTACTTCTTTGGTACTCCTTTCAGTGACAAGCACTACCATAGAGCCTCACGACCAATGGAGTCAAATGCCGCCTTAAGGTCAAGAAATACTGTGGTGTGGTCTACTTATATCCATATAAGTAGTATGTGGTGTTTGTCAGACATAGAATGTATTTGGGCAGAAGACCGATGAGCAAAGAACTGAAATGAAGCGCAATCGTTTGGAAAATGCATGAGCAATGAAATTAGAGAAGAAACAGAGAAGATTGAAACAATTGGTTGTTAATTTGCAAATTGACTGTTCATTGTTTGGTTATCAGAATTTACTGAGATAGTCTGTAATTTTTGCTTAAATACATTCGATTGTTCCCAACCGGTGTTTTGTTCACTACATTTGGTGTCGCTGCCAACCAGGAGGAGGTAAGGTGCTGTTCTGCGGACGCCGCTGCGGGTTTGGAGTTGA